TTGGGTATTGAACTATTTTTAATGGTCTTTTGGGTGGCTCAAATTACATATTTGAACTGGTGTATGCTCTTTTCACTGTTAGAGATTTGTGCTCCATTTGTTAACTGATTGGCGGGGAGAGCAGCAATAGGAGAGCAGAAGAGGATTGCTGTGGGAAGTTACCCACTGTCGGCATTAGAGACACATAAGGAAAATATATGTTTCAGGCTTTGAGGTCGAAGTGAAATTTTTACGTACAATCCGATGAACTTTAAAGGTGATCTGCTGATCTCTGAAGTTTAAGCAGATACTGTACAGAGCGTTTTCACGTACTTAATGACAAAAATCGCTACAGTTAGCCACTCTGAAGGTCATTTGCTTTTGACATCTGTCAAATTACACAATCTTGAATTTTGGTACAAAGCATAATGCTGTCAAGCTGAAATAGAAATATTCCAGAATGTGGAGTGGTGTGTTGTTTTTTAAGGTAAATGGGCCCCATTTACATTAGTTCTTTGATGTTAAATTCTTTGCTGCACATCAGAGAACAGTTGCTTCTTCCCTGGAGCAAGTTTTCTTTCTTCTCCTTCCCCCACCCTTTGATTTTTTTCCTTTCTTTTTTTTTTTCTTTTTAGTTTACTTACACTTTTATCTAACTAATTATGGAGGATCAGCTTATGTATGGCTGTCATTTAGCAAGGCATTTTGAAAAATGGTTATTTTATAGTTATTACCCTAAACATTTCTTAAATCTACTTTTATATTCGTGAATATGGGTGTGCCTATGTAACCCTCTGGTTTATGAGAGTTCTATTTGTGGGGGTTTTGTCGTCTGTGTATGTTTTGGGGAGATTGAAATCAAATTGAAACACTACTGAATCAATCACAGAACTGTAATTTGATAGATGAAGAGGATTTCATTGTGCATCCTTAATTCTTACAGATTTACCCATGTTTGGATTGCAGGAATTAGTTTTCATGTTAATTTTGTAGCATAACTGAAATCTAACTTTCCTCCCAAAAATCACCATTCTAAAGCTGGAAGATAGAGAATCACAGAACCATTTGGGTTGGAAAAGACCTTTAAGATCATCGAGTCCAACCCTAAATCTAACACTGCCAAGTCCCACTAAACTATGTCCCTACGCACAGATTTGTACTGTTCCAAAAAATCCTTCACAGCTGCATTTTCAATAAACATTCAAGATGTCCTAAACACCTTCATGGGTGTTGGTGGAGGATGAAGTTGTCCATGCATCTCCAACCCCTCAGTGCAGGTAGAGCTGCTGTCCATGCCAGAGGTGGCTGTACCAAGGAGCAGCCTCCGGGGCTGTTTTGGGACATAGATGTCATTGAGGGGAACTAGAGCTAAAAGTCACCTCTAATACATCTTATACCTTAAAAATAATGTGGAAACCTTGATAATTAGGGCAGGGCATAGTATGCTTTTGCAGTGTGCTCCTATCGTAGATCCTTTGGTCTTTTATTCTTAGTAAAGCTCTTGTGTTTGCTGAAAGGAAAGAAATGAGAACCTGTGTTAGACTAGCCTCTGTTAATTCAGATACCACGTCTGTAGTGCTAATACCGGTTTTAATTTTTCTGTCAAATGTTTTGCTGAAGTCGGTGCAGTTTTACTCAGCAACCACAATATGATGCTTTAAGGCTTGTTATAGAATTATTGTTGGGTTTTAAACCAATTAACTGTAACAAGGACATAAGCTTTTTAATACAAAAGTCCTCACTCTGTAGTATAAAATAACTGTATGTAAAATTGTCGTAATCAGATAATTTTAGCTAAAGTATGTATTAACTGTGTGAAACTAAACAGAAGTTAATTTTTGAATCAGTGGGATTCCTCTATGGCTTATCCGATTTAAACCTTTTCATTACAAAAATGGATATTACAATTGATATTTCTGACAAGTTTTTTGCCAAGTGTGAGTTTCAACAGCTACCTCTCACACACAGAGTTTAAGACCATTAACTATATTTGCAGTGCTGCCCATTGCTATAAAAGAATAAAAGTTAGGCTTTAATGAATACTGGCTGACCCTCCAAATGTTCACCTTCCAGTTGGATTCTTATTCATTATGTTTCTGAAATAGTTTGTAACCTGAAAACCAGGGAATGACCTTAAAATAATACAGAAGCAGCTTCTGCTTTGTGAAATGCATGATCCCAGCAGCTGGTTATAAAAAAAGGAAGCCCAGTAAAGGTTTAAACCTTCTCGTTTGTCAAGATAAATGTAATATAAATGCTCCACGATGTTTGCTGTACTCAGCTATGTGTATTTACTTTGCAGTAAGCCATTTCTTACAAAAAAAATAAGTAAAAAGGCACTTTTTGGTGTGTAGTAGTGCCCCAGTGGAGGAAGAGGTTTAGGCCTCCTTAGGCCGCAAAGCAACAGCCTGTAGTCAAGAGGTATTAAATTAGTTTAGTCACAGGTTTTAAAAAGGGAAAAGTTTTCTATTTCTGCAGTAAAAGAAGATAAGGGAAAAGAGTGTTCCTGTGCATCACCATGAATTAGATCTTTTAAGCTGACCGATGTGCTGTAACCTGTAGAAACAGCCTTCTGCAGAGCTTCACCAGCCTGTGTGGTCTGTGGGGATGCAGGCCTGTCCAGTGGTACAGATCTGGAGAGAAAAGCCAAAGTCAGCACATGTCTGTAGTTTTTAGTGCCCCAGGGTCTAGGTAGCCGGTTTTAGAGCAGACCTCAACGCGTTTGTCTTCTCTCCAGTGGAAGTTTTGGTAACCCAGAACATCTGAAAATCAGACCCCTCATATAAGGAAGTTTGGGACTGCAAGTAAGTGCAAGGATCTGTGGTTTGCTGATGACTAGGAGAAAACTTATAAATATTTTGCTAATTGGAATTTGTTAAAGCCATTATGAAATAGATTGTTGTAATTGCCTTTAAGTAAACTGGTTGGATAGACTTTCTTTGCCTTCAGTTAGGAATAAAACACTGACATTCAGCATATCTTTCATTTGGATCGCCTCTGTCATGTCCATCAGAGGTCATCCTGATTCTACTCAGCGTGAGCAAACAAATTCTAATTTGTTTATGAAAGTTAGGGGTGGTTTTTATTATTTATTGTGATTTCTTCTATGGGTTCAGGAGGTTATAAAGCTGCTTCTATGAAAGATGAAGACTTTTACCCCAGGCAAGTTGAGCGAGAGCAGCTGCAATGTCATCTTTGCAGTGCCTTGCTGTATGGTATCTCCCTTTCTGGGAATAGCACTGATTTATACTATTACTGTAATTTGCTTTTTTAAACTTTTCTCCCTAAACTTACAATTTCAGTCGCTTTATGATATGCAGTGGTGGTAAAACGTAATCTGAAACTAGATAACAATGCAGTGGAAAGAAAATGGGTGAGCTTGGGTACAAAGAGAAATACAGCATACACAGAACTGTCTGACATATCTGCTGCTGTGTTACTGCTCCCTCTTTATTTATGAATCCCCACAATATTCCTGTATGGTGTTTGTGGCACACTCTAAGTGATAAATGTAGAAGAAGTGGAATTTAATTTGCCTGGTGCTCCAGAATTCTTGTATGTGCTGTTTTAAATCAATATATAGTGCCATTATCTCTATTTATAACAAAAAACAACCAAAATGTGTTCTCAAAAGTTATGCTCATATTTGATAATGGTTTGTAGGTCTCGATAATGGGCTTTGTAGGTCTTGATAATTGGTTTTGATTAACTTTTTTTAGTAGATTTCTTAGTACCAGCAAACAGATGAAATACAGAGACCTCCATATGTTTCATAATTTTGAAATTTGAAGGGATTCAAGGTCTTAAATTGCAGTATCATGTAAACTTTAAGATTATTTTTAGCTGGCTGTAATATACTTACATTAAGCTGTGCCCGGATTGTACAAGATGATTCGAGCCCTATCGTGCTCGGTGGTGATTTGCAAACACCGTCTGCCACTTTAAGCTCCTAAATTTATAGTCCAGTAAAATCAGTAAGGCTGTTTGCCTGACAGAAATCTGGTGTTTGCAGAAGTGGAGTTTCAGTCTTGCAACTGGATCCAAGGTGGGTCCAGAGCCTCTGGGGCAGGGGGCCCTGCGGCATCTGTGGTTCCCCCAAAACTTCTGTGGTCCCCCAAAACAGGCGCTGGTGCGGGGGCAGCTGAAGGAGCCTGTGTTTGCGTGTGGGATGCTGGGCCGTAAAACTAAGGCCGACAGATCAAAGATTTGAACACGAGGTCAGATAGATTTTGGAAAACTTAATCAGCTTAAATTCGCTTCAGAACTCGACTTGGTAATGTTCTGTCCCCCTAAGAAAATATTTTTCTTAGACACCTGTCCTTGTATTTTGGAGCCAAGAACACTGGAGTGCTTAGCAGTTCATCTGAGGACAGCGTTTTGTGGACGGTCTATCAGTATAATAACGGGATGCTTTGCAAGAAAAATACACATCAGAATTGTGTCTTGAAATGAAATTGAAATTATTTTTTAATTATTGGTACTCTTGAAGTTATTTCTGAAATTAAATTATTTGAGGGGAAAATCCCATTAAGAGCTACTTTCCCCCAGAATTATAGCAATATTTGCTTATTGGATTCCACTAGGACAAAGGAGCCTTGTTTGCTTTTCCCCCCCTTATCTTCAAATTGTGAAAAATACTGCAGAAGGGAAGAGCTGTATGTCCAAGGGTTGGTCACCCTGATAAACTCATGTGTGCGCTGCCTCCCTCCCCCTGCCAAACACACACTCGCTCTCTTTTTCTTTTTTTTCTGAAATCCGCAGAAGTCTTTATGTTTTTCTAATAATTGGCAGCAGAGGTACAATTTCTCCCCTCTTTTAAGTGATGAATAGTTGGCCCGAGATCAAAGGCGAGCCCTGGCGGTTTTTTTGGCTGCCACAAAAGGGCGTTGGAGTTGGCGCGGGTCCCGGCCGCTCAGCGATAGGCATGCGGATGAGGTGCCAAGCGGAGGGCTCGGTGGCAAAGTGTCTGTACACGTTCTTCATCGGGGCTGATCCGGTCGCCTTTTGTGTGTGTTTTTCAGGCAAACAGCCGGCTGAAGCAGACTGAAACGGAGTGTGGCCAGAAGCTGGCAAAATCCTCGCAGGTAGGTAGAGAGAAGGCAGGAGCCTCACGTGAATTCGTGCAGTTTGGAAGCTTGATGAAAAGTGTAATTACTTCTGCTCTTAAGTGTGGGTCTTGATGATTAAAAGAAGCCATAACCGTTGCCCAAATCAAACATTCGATGTCTGTCTTGCAGATTTTAACCTTTCAAAAAACACAGAGCGCTAAGCTGACTAGAAAAAATGAGTGAGGGTTTTTTTGAGTTCTAAATTACATCTTTTTCATCTATGTTTTCATCTCCTGAGGACCCAAGAGGGCCGAGTCCTCCTTCAGTCAGTGTGAAGGGAAGGCGAGGTGCCCCATCCACCAGCACATCTCCTAAAATCAGGATCAGTTGCACAACCGGGACTTGCATTTGGTGTCACAGGGTGGTGTTTGCCCATGCAAACATGGCAGGACGGCCGTCCCAACCGTGCTGTCTTAGTGTTCATCATTGCTCCTGGCCAGCTCAGCACTTCTGCCCAAAAACACTTTGAGGAATATCAGTGTCCTGAAAGCAAACTGGTTTTGATTTGAGTTTTTGCTCTTCAGAGCAGTTTTTTGAACACAGAAAATGAAAATGTGGGTTGAATTTACATATACGCTTCAAAAGGATAAGACAGTTTGAAAGCTTTCAGTTTAATTGACAGGCAGTAGTGAAGTGTGAAAAATGATGGAGATGCAACCAGAAGTTAAGCTTTTAATAATAAGAAAATTGCCACGAGGATTTACGTGGAGGTGTCATTCTTCTCATTCCTCCCAACCACAGCGTAATGCCTGCCCTGTACTTCCAAAGTCTGTTTTCAGCCATAGGAGTAGTAGTCTAATAATACTCTTTAAAAATCAATAAAAACACTACGAGGTATTGAATGGTTTAGAAGCCTCAAACTAGGCAGAGATGATCAGTGAGAGAATGACAAGAAACTGCAAGCCTCACTGTTTTACAGGCACTTTAAAATATTTTAAAAGCCCTGATTTCAGCTTTTCAGCTACTTTTGAGTCTCACTGTCTGGAAAGCTTGTGGCTCTACCTGTTTCAGTGGAATTTATTGGACTATCACATTTTTTCACACCACATTTTTTTGAGACAGCCTTTATCAGAATCATCGTTACATATATTTTTACATTATCTTTCTAAAAATTAACGTGGATTTTCTGCACATTTGCAGAGAGGTTGTGGGGTCTCCATCCTTGGAGATACTCAAAGCCCCAACTGGACGTGGTCCTGAGCAACCGGCTCTGGGTGACCTTGCTTTGAGCTGCTCCCTTCCACCCTCAGCACTTCCATGATTCTCTGATAAATCAGAGGCAATGCTTTCTTACATGCCCCTTTTAAGTCGTTTGTGAGAGATTTAATTATAAAGAAGAAGAAACAACAACAAAAACCCCTTTTTAAAAATCTTGTCATCTAAACCTGAATAGCAGAAAATTGCTAAAGCTCAAAAAGTAACATTTAATACATGGCAGTCCTTAAGGAAGAGATCCTTAGGTTTTATCTTTTGATATTGTTGTTTTTATACTATTGCCAGCCTCTTTATGCCAGACGTAGTTTACTGTCAGGACAAAAATGTATCTTGGTCCATTCACTGAAGGCAGATGGAATAATTTAAGCATCTCTAATTTTTCAAACAAGGGGAGAGGGAAATTGCTTTAATTGTCACAGTGGGAACACCTAGGTAGTATAGTGCAAGGTAATAGCTATTTAACTTAAATATCATCATAAATTTTGGCAGACTGAAATTGATTGGCCTGTAGAATAGTCTCAAAATGGCAAAAAATTGAGATATTGGACATATTTTTTGAAGGTAGGCATTGCTGTAGCTGATAGACCGTTCTCTTTACTGGGGAGATGGACAGGCACAGCACCTACATCCTGTGGCAGGGCTGTGTGGCACAATACAGGAGTTTCACCCTGATGTCTGAATTTCTTTTACTTTTGTGGGTTGGAATCAAATCCCTAAAATCACTTGAACATAGTTTTTGGGTTTTTTTTTTGTGTAGCTCAGTATTAATAATAGGTCAATTGCGACTTTTCTTGTGGTCATGTTGCTGACAACATCTGTCTGATCTTACTCTCTGTGGCCTCTTGGAACATTCGCTTGTAACACCCACACAGAGGAGATATTTCAAGAAATTTCCTCTGAAGTTTATACAAAGTAAACAGATACTTTTTTCCTCTGAAAAGTACTGCACAAAGCAGATCTTTCTCCATAAATTCACGCAGAAATTTCCTTGCATGCATTTCAGAACCCCTACGCTAATCCAGGGTCTTAACCAAGTAAAAGCCCTGAATTTCACTTTTTGTGTTATATTAAGGAGTTTGTTATTCTGTTTTCTTTTTAAAAAGTGACAAAATGGAACACACACAAAGTGTGTTTGCATGGCTTCAAGTTGTTATCTTAATAATTTGTATGATCCATCACTTTCTCTCTGCATGTATTACACACCTCACAAAGCCAAATTTGTGCAAATTTTGGTCATCTAAATGATGATCTGAATTGCAAACCTGGTGATACTGCTTAATCCTGCCCAAAGAGTTTCACCTCTCTAGACAATCTCTGAACTGTGGCCAGTTGATATCATTAAGAGCAAACAGCTTTCCTTTTTGATTGGTACATTATCTTTTTCATTATGTATATGTTTCTAGGAAAGAAATACAGAAATATCCATGCAGATTTTACTCCTAATCTGTGTTACTCTGTGGGGTGTTCATGCAGTAAACCAGATAAATAAACTTACAGTAGAGTTTTAATGGGTCCTTTTCCCCTTCCCCAGTGATTCTAGTGCTTTCATTTGTGGAGTATTTCTTATTATGTTAGTCCTTTATCCTGTAATTCTTAAAACCCCATTTTTTTTTCTAAATAACTGTGGCTTTAGTATAGTTAAAAGTTTCTCTATTAACAAGGAGGCCTTGCAAGCACCCTGGTAGTCTCTCCCTGAACTGCCTGTGTATTTTAGACCATATTATACTGCTACAGCAGCTTAACCTTAAGCTTGAATATATACATAAAAGTCAGTGACTCTCCCATGTGTTGAAGTGCTTTGCTGGGTGATGACTTACATGCCAGCATCACATTCTGTAAATATGCCTGAAGGATCAGCTTCAGTTATGACTTTGCACCGTGATAAAAAAGGTGAAACAAGTGTGTTTCAACAAATCATGAGTGAGTCGTGGAAAAGGTCTCGTTTAAGGGTCCCGCACATTGAATCGGGTCCCGCACATTGAATCAGGTCCCCACTGAAGTGCTAAGTAGAATATGCTCCTTTCAGCAGCTCAGAAATCGCACTATCAAGTTAAAATTGCAGTCCCATATATAAATTCGGGGTGTTTTCTTCTCTGCAGTATTACACTGTAAAGTATCCTTCCAGAAAGCGACCCCACCATCACTGTGTAAATTTGCAGCGCGGGTTTCGATGCGGTGGAAGGCTGGAAACACGCTCACTTTTGAAGATCACAGATGGGCTTTGTTCTCATGAGTAAATATTTTGGAATGTCATAGTGGAAAACCCTTCCAAATATTTTACGTTCAGCAATTTTTGTCATTCGCAGCCTTCCTATATTCCTTTTTCTCCGCGCGGAATTTCATGCTCGCCAGTGTGTAATACGTTAATTTGAAATATTTAGCTTGCGCAGCAGAGTTTGCCAATGCCATGCTTGTAGCGAGCACAAAAACATGCAAAATACATGCCTTTTACTGAAGAGAGATTTAGCATGCTGTTTTCTTTTTAGATCATAGCTGAACTTAAGACAACCATTTCCTCTCTGACAGAGGAGAACAGCCGGCAGCAGCTTGCCGCAGAGCAGCGGCTCCAGGAAGTTGTACAAAAGTTTGAAGATAAGAAGCAGCAGCTGATTGCGGATAATGACAGAGCAATCAAGGTAATCCGGGGGTTTTAGTCACCGATGCTACTGGCAGTTGGCGTGTAATTAAAAGTTCTGCGGTGGGCAGATGGATGCAGGTATCGTTCCTGTTCGCACAGCACTCGCTAATTCCATTCCCTGGACCTTGGCTTTGATGTACCCGGTGACTCAGGCGCTTTCCTCTACCTGATCGTAAACCTACATAACACATTTGGGTTTGGCGAGTCTAATCCATCCACTTCAGTCAAATACTTGAAACTTTCCTGTTCTCTCTCTTTTAATACTGACTCAGGTATTTTAACATATTTTCAGCACTTTTCCACAGTGCTTTCAGTACTTAACAAAAGGTGAAAAATAGGAGATCCGAGTTGCACCACCTGAGAGCCAGCAGCGTGGCAGGGCCTTAGCTTGGTTTGCTCAAAGCAATCTCACCTCTCATGTTTTAAAGCTGCAATGAAGGAAAGTGCATTCTTAAATTCCATTGAAAACCAACTCTCTGCTTAAATATGAATGAAATAAAAGACATGTTTGTAACTTTTTTTCAGTAAATTGCTGCATATTTTGCATCGGAGTTGAATTCTCTGGCCTTTTTCAAGAAAGCTTTAAAAGTCTACGGGTTCTGAATATTCGGCCTCAGTTCCTTGCTGCTTTGACACCCTGATTCAAAGCGGCTGCAGAGAATCCCTCCTGCAAGTAGAATTGTATTTCAGACGTTTTTCCTTTAACAGCAGTAAAGAGCAATGGAAGATTTTGGAAACTATGTAATCTGCTGGGGTCGACAACCAAAACACTTCATTAAAAGTTGAATAGAAGAAAGAAATTCCTTTTTTCTTCGTAAAGACATTAACTAGTACCAAACAAAGAATTATGCTGTTAAATCTAGACACTCATTAAAAAATGAACTCCTACAGTTTGCCTAACTTTTTGTGCTGAAAAGAAACCATGGGAGTTTTCAGATGGTAGAACGGTCTGATGTTCAGTTATGGCACAACTAATGTTGTCCTCTACATGGGAATGATTTGCATAAGGAAATTGTGTTGACATTGCTATCTCACCATCCGTGGAGTGTTATTTTTGTTTAAGGGTTTTTAATGATGTTTAATGATTTCACAGCTTTTTTCTTTTTAGCACCTGGTGCAAGTGCTACAGTTGAATATCTGGATTCACTTAAACTAAGTTACATTCAGTGGAAATACTTCAGATGTTGGCAACAACAGTTTCTGAGTGCTAATGATGATAGGTTGTATGAAATCCTTCTCCGTGTAAATCTGTGTTCAGCTCTTGTAAACTTAATTTTGACAGGATTACCTCAAAATGTAATGAAATCCTTAAAAGCCACAGGGGAATTCTGCATAGGGTTTTCTGAGCAGTGACCCAGGGTTTGTAGTACTGGTCCTGAGATAAAGCTTTGTAGGATTTAGGTCAGCTTGGGAAAGAAATTGCAGGAGCCGTTACACTTGGAGTTCTTCAACTTTGTTTAGGATCATTAATGTTGTACTTTTAAAAAAAATCTTCCTTTGAAACCACTGATTTACTGGAAATGTACTGAAAGCCACACACCCAAACAGAGGGTTCTTAGGAAGGTAAACTGCTGTGTATGCTTCTGGAAGCAGAAAGAGGTGTGTTTAGTGTTCAATTGCTTAGTGTTTTTAAGAACCACACACACTTTTAGATGAGCACATGTAGAAATACTTTGCTTTTTATTAGCCTGAGGCAAAAAAAAGAAAATAAAATGTTTTGGTGTGAGTGGAATCCTGGATGTCCTGGAGATGGGGACCAACATCTAACCCTGGGTAAGCTGAAATGATTAAAGAAACATTCTAAAGACAAAGTGATTCTCAGTATAGCATAAGCCTTTGAGAAGACTTAGTGTAAGTTATTGAAAAGGCTATTGTTAAAAAATGGGCATTTGCTAAATATAACATTGATTTAAACTAACATTGAGGAACAGATTGTAATTTCCTTTATATGGTATTGGGTTAACTTCCTGTAAGACCTTCCAATTATTATTTCCTTTCAAAGGGAGAAATACATTTTTACAGAAACCAACTGGCTCTCGGAGAAGTTTTGGATTTAGTCAGTAAAGTGATATCCAGATGTGGATGCCATAATACATGATTTTGATGTTAATTCAAATTCCTGACTCTCTCTGCTAGTTAAAGATTCCTGAGTTGTTGTTATTTCACAATTGTATTTATCTCCTTAATCTTAATATTTTTTAAAGTATCTTAAGCATTAGTGAAAAAGAATAACTGAAACTTTTAAGAATATTTTGCTTCTTTTGACAACCTAAAATCCCAATCTGAACAACCCTTTTTGGCTTCAGATGGCTTCAGTTTGGGTCAGTTTGAGACACATACTTAAAGTACTTGGCCGCCTGCGTTACACCATGATTTGTCTGGCCTAAGGGCAAGTCAAAGTTTGTGCCGTCAGAGTCATAAAATCAGGATAAAACTTTGGCTCATCGCATTCCTTTCTTGTGGTTTGTAAAGGAACCAATTTGGAGGCCATCGCGTTGCCGTGTCCAACAGCAAAGACCTCAGCAGCCATGGTCTGAGCAGGCGTTGGACAACGGAGCGTCTCCCGTTGGTGCCGCTGAGGTTCAGCCTGTTGGGATTACAGCAGCATTGGCACTAAGATTTATCCCAAAAACACAGCTCCCCGTTCATTTCTACGTATATATATATATCTTTGCTTTGAACTTGTGCTCTTTGGAGCAGAGTACAAGGCCACTGCAGCGGGCCTGGCATGGGGCAAATCCAGCAAAGCTCACCTGGTCTCCGTGCCATGCCTCTCCTCTGATGTTCTTACACTTCAAAGATCAGGAACCTTTGGTTTAGACCATGGGATTAGTTGAGAGCACAATTATATTAATGCCCTGCAGATGCTTGGAAAAGCTGCTTAAATTGCTATGTCTGTTAACCCATTTGTGATGCTTTAGACTAGGATTTCAGAAGGCACCCTCCAGTAAGGGTTTGGATGCCGAACTCTTGAGGGTGTCTATGCATGAGCTACATTGGTCATTGAAGTATAGTGTAAACTTATTAAGGCTAAATTTAAACTAGCTTTCTTGCATCCTGATAGCAATCTAGCCCGAATAACCCAGAGCTCAATGCAGTGAAATGGTCAGAGCATTTACCTGCCTTTGCTGCTGCTTTTGGCCGTGGCTACCGGCTGGACGCGGCACTAGCATGAAGTTGATTGCATGGTAGAAATACCTTGAGGTTATTTATGAAATCCCAGCCTTAGGTTTTTTGGGTTTTTTTTTTTTATTAAATCCTTTTGGATCCTGGGATTGGAACTGCAAAACAGATCCTGGGATTGGAACTGCAAAACAAGTTCAGAGAGTTTTAATGTAGAAGTTGATGGCCAAGTGGGGACTCCACATCAAAAAGTAGGTTCTGGAAAGAAATAGATGATGGAGCACACGCAGTGACAAACCCACAACAGAAAAGGGAGAAAATGATGCTTTTTTGCCAAAGGAACCACATTTGTTGTTTGGCTCATACTGCAGATTCCAGGATTCTATTATATCCCCTGAATTAACACCAAAATTTCATTAGCAAAGCATGGTTTGAAGAGGACATATTTCAACACTTTGTGTGTCAGCCAGCTTATGATCAGATTAATTCTGTTAATAAATAAGGCTTAAAAGATTTCTAGGAAAGAATGCCATATAATAATGTTCCCCTTCATGTGAAAAATTTTGAAACAGTTGTTTTTTCCTTCGTTATGTTTTAAAATGTTAAGAGAGGAAGAAAGCAACAGTGCATTTTATAGCTACAGCAGAACAAAGGAGAAAACTTCTGGTTTTAAGTTGAGTGGACCTATGTGGGCATTGAGTAGTCTCAGCATCGCCATATATTTGTTAGATGCTGTTGTCTCTTGGAGCAGTAAAGTCATTTCCTCTATGCAGAGTTTAGACTGAAGGATTTATCAACACAGTGAAATTTCTCAATGAAACTATAACAAAATACTCTGATATCCTTGTGCTTGAGCCAGTCCTAGTGGTCAGTACTCTATTTCCTTTTATTTTGGAAACCCACGGGATGGGGTTACATTGATATCTCTCTATTTTGGTGTATCATGTCAACAAATTGCCCCATAATGGGGGTGTGTGGTGTCTTGGGCCACCTCCCCATCTGCCCATGTCCTGCAGCGCCGGGGTGACGTGGCCGCATGACCTCCTTGTTTTATTGGCATAATCCCCCCCTCCTCTTCATGTTTGCTTCCCGCTAAAACTAAAACAAATTCTTTTAAACCTTGGGATATTTTAAAGCATTCAGAACATTTCTGTCAGGGCACCTGATATCTTTGTTTCCACAAAGCAGTTGTCAAAATATACTGATGGCATTTACAAACATGTCTCAAATGCGGTCTGTCAGAAAAACTGCTTTTAAAAGTTTTGTGAACAAGCTAATTTTGTGGTTAGTTCATTATTGGCCATGTTTATGAGCAAATTCCACTTGTAATTACAAATAATATTTTGGATTAAAGCATGTCAGAGCTATGGGAACATCAACTGAGTTACTGTAGCTCTGCAGAACTGTTCAGTCTGATGTCCTTAAAATACCTTTGGGAAGACCACCATCGTGCTCTGCTATAGCCATTGCTGGGTTTAATAAGAAATAAGTAATTCTAATGTCTTGATTTAAAAGTCCTAAGCAAAGCTAACTCACAGTGCTTTAGATGTCCTTATGGTTGTTATTAATGGAAGAGAGGCAACAGAGAGCATTCAACCTAAATTGACCTGATCTAGAGTACACAGGAGAAACATTTTTGGTCCTGTCTTGCAGATGAGACCCTGGAGGGTAGAACCTTGACTTTGTCCAAGGGTTGTGACAAGGATGGGAATTCACTTTGGCCTCCTGAGCTCTGGATCTGTGCGTCAGTTGGTCCATCAGCCCTTCTGTGAGAGCAGTTTCGGGATCCCAACAGTAACAAACCCATAGCCTGACTCTGAAGGGACATCACCCAGTGTGAAAGCCACATCTAAGAAATACACTTGCAATCTCTTT